CCTTTTCAAAAAACCAACTTTTTGATTTATTGATCTGTTGTATAATCCTTTTGTTTTCAATTTCATTTAATTCTGCTCTAATTTTGGTTATTTCTTTTCTTCTGCTGAGATTGGGATTGGAGTATTCTTCCTTTTCCAGTTGCTTGAGATGTTCCATTAAGTTGTTAACTTCCTCTCTCTCTGTTCTCTTGAGGAAGGCTTGCAGGGCTATAAATTTCCCTCTTAGGACTGCCTTTGCAATATTCCAGAGGTTCTGATAACTCATATCTTCATTATTGTTTTGTTCCAAAAATTTGGTAATTTCCTTCTTGATCTTGTCTCTGACCCACCTGTCATTCAACATAAGGTTATTTAGCTTCCACGTTTTTTGTATGAGTCTGCAAATTCCTGTTGTTATTGAGTTTGACTTTTATTCCATCATGGTCTGAGAAGATGCAAGAAATAATTTATATTCTTTTAAATTTGTTGAGGTTAGACTTGTGATCTAAAATGTGGTCAATTTTGGAGTATGTTCCATGGGCCGATGAGAAAAATGTGTATTCAGTTTTGTTAGGGTGAAATGTTCTGTAGATGTCTGTTAAATCCAAATGCTGAATGGTTAAGTTTAAATCTAAAATTTCTTTGCTAAGCTTCTTGTTGGAGGATCTGTCCAACACTGCCAAAGGAGTATTAAAATCTCCAAGTATGATGGAGCTGGGAGAAATCAAGTTGCTCATGCCTATTAGAGTATCTCTTATAAATTGAGGTGTATTCTGGTTGGTTGCACAAATATTGATAATTGAAATCTCATCATATTGAGTATTACCCTTAACAAAAATAAAGTGACCATCCTTATCCTTCTTTCCCTTTGTTGGTTTAAAGCCTATTGTATCTGTGAATAGAATTGCAACACCTGCTTTTTTCTGCTTTCCATTTGCCTGGAAAATAGATGACCATCCCTTCACCCTGAGTCTATATTTGTCTTTTAAGATAAGATGAGATTTTTGCATCCAGCAGATATCTGGCCTGAGTTTTTGTATCCAGTCAGCCAGGCTGTGCCTCTTTAGAGGGCAATTTAAGCCATTCACCTTGATTGAGAATATTGATAAGCCTGGTATAATTTTGAGTATCAAGTTTTTCAAAACTCCAGTGGACATTTTTAATCCTTTTGCCACTGTGGAAGTTGGAATTTGATCAAAATTTTCTGTGTGAGTTTACTTATGTGGTGGAGGATTACAGGGTCTTTGTGGAGGATAGGTCTGAGAATACCTTGGATGGCTGGTTTAGTTATGGCAAATTTCTTCAACATGTGAATGTCATTAAAGTATTTAATTTCTCCATCATAAATGAAACTCAGTTTAGCTGGCTACAGGAGCCTCAGTTGAAAGTTCTTTTTTGTTATAGGAGATTAAAAGTTGATGACCACCCTTCTAGCCTGAAAGGTTTCAGCAGAGAGATCTGCAGTCATTCTAATATTCTTCCCCTTGTAGGTTATGGTTTTCTTACATCTAGCTGCTCTCAGAACTTTCTCTTTCATTTTAACTTTAGTGAAGTTAATTATGATGTGCCTGGGGGATGTCTTGTTCAGGTTGAGTCATCCTGGGGTTCTGAAACTGTCTGCTATCTTAATTTCAGAATCTCTTGGCATGTCTGGAAAGTTCTCTTTCATAATTTCATGAAGAAGACCCTCTATGTTTTCTGAAACAACTTCATTGCCTTAGGGATTCCTATAAGACGAACATTAGTTTTCTTCATATTATCCCAGAGCTCTCTGAGAGAATGATCCATTTTTGCTCTCCATTTCTCTTCATCCTTGAGAGTTTGGGCACATTCAAAAGCTTTGTCTTCAAAGTCAGAAATCCTTTCTTCTGCCTGCTCCATTCTGTTACCGAAGGATTCCACTGTATTTTTCAGATCTTTGAGGGCTGCAACCTCTTGGATCAGTGTGTCAAAATCTTTGGTCATTTTATCTTTAAATTGTTGAATTCTTGAGACTGCTTTTGAATAATTTGAAATTCTAATTACCTCCTTTCCTCCATTCTGTTAATCTATTTGCTATCCAGATTCTGAACTCGATTTCTGTCATCTCAGCCATCTGTTTATGGATGGGATCTTCAATTGCATCTGGCCCATCCTTCCTTGGGGGAATTGATGTACTCTGGTTACTCAGGTTACCAGAGTTTTTCCACTGATTCTGCCCCATGCTGAATTTGCACTATTTGAAGACCATCCCAAGACCATTCCACCAGTGGCTGCCACTGGAGAAGATGCCAGCTTCCTCTGGTTACCTGGAGAGATAGGGCGTGTCTGTCTGGAAAAGCCTCTGAGGTGTGAGCCTTATTGTTCTAGCTGTTGGGGCTGCTGCTCTTTGCCTCGGGGTACCACTGCTCCAGTGTAGTTCCCTTTCAACTGACTGTCCTCTCACAGTTCTTGGGCAGCCGGGCCTAGGGTGCTGGGAATGCGTGGGTTGATCAGTCCTTGGTGCACCCCATTCAGGGGCCCTGAGTGGTGGCAGATCGCCAGTGGCCACATGGGGAAAGTGCAGCTCAAGCAGTTCTCTGGCTGCAGGGCTGGGACAGGGCGCTTAGTCCCACAGGGGTGGGGAGACACTGCTCTTGGGCCTCCTCTTACTGCGTCTGCAGGCAAGGGGGGAAGGGTGGACTGGGAATTCAAAATGGCATTGAAACTGTAGTTCGATTTTTCTGCCTGGCGAGAGGGTGTTTAGAGTCTCAGTAGGGCCCCTCTAGGGGAGTAGACCCCACTTTCTGTAGCTCTCACACGTGGCGTGAGACAGTAAGTCCTCAGTTCACCGCTCGCCTTTGGGAAACTCACAGGAGCAGATGAAGAGGAAACAAAGAGAAAAACACATCTTTCTTGGGGGAGGGGACAGACGCCCTTCCTTTGGGATGTATTATGTACCTGTAGATTGCTTTCTAGGAGTTGCAACTTGCCTCAGCAGAGGTGTCCTGCAGATATCACTCTTCTCTCTTAGCTGGGCTTCTAGTGTTCAACTTTGTTGGGCATTTTCTGGACTTTATCCTTCCCTCTGGAAGGGAGCTTCTGTTGGATGCTGGTACCTGCTGGCCATCTTGTCCCTCACCCTGAATCTTACAGTCTTAATGGAGAAAACTAGTAAAGCTCACAAATGACTATTACATCAGGGGGAAATTAAAAAATGTTTAAAGCCTGTGATGTTTTATGAATGGAGAAATGGCATTAATTTGGTGACAGGAGACTTCATGGAATAGGAGGCATTTGAAATAGGGATCATTTGGAAAGGTCATATGTAGTATGAGAGTGAACATTCCATGGCAGAGAAATAGGGCAAGACACATTTGGGGAGACAACTCAGTTGGATCACAGCATCTCTGCAATATGAACAGCCATGAATTCTAGGGCAAGGACTCCAGACTTGATTTGCAGGCAGTGGCCTAGGGAGGCTATGACACAGCCAAAGCTTACTTAGATGTAGGAAAATCAATCAAATTGCTTTGTCTATGATGATTTGAGGCACATACCATATGGTGTACTCAATATGTTCGTTGAATAAATTGTAGAAAATATGCCTCCACACATTCAGAAGTGGAAAACAGTGGAAAGGTGGAATGCAAAATAATTTTCCATTCAAGTTCATGTAACAGTAACATTAAGTTTCACAAATTCTTAGGACTTGTGCTATATGGTATTTACACTTGCTGCAGATACCAAAGAGAATGTGGGTGGTTATACAAACTCATAGAAAAAAAATAGTCAAGATAAGTAATTTTCTTGCTATTATTTTGACTATTTAAGTAATCTAGTTGATTACCTATTTTGAGAAGTGGCGAGGACAGCATAGGTTAATGAATATTATGAATGTATGAAATTGCCACTGATAGTAGTAAAATTGTAATGTCCCTCATAGACCGGTAGTGAGTGAAAAAGATATCTTCTCTCAGAGATGGAAAACTTCAGCCTGAATAGGAACCAGTATTCTGAAAGGAAAAAAAAACTATAAACTTCGTAGATTTTGTGCACTTAGGATTTTTCCTGATAACACTTTGGCAATATGTACAGAACATTGTTAAGATTTTATGTTCACTTCAGTGTTTGAGAACCTGGCTCCCAGGCACAAGGCTGTCACTGACATCACAGATATTTGTTTCACTAAGAACAACAAAGACTGATGAAACTGTACATTTCTGCTTTTAGTTTCATCCAGGTAAAGCAGAGGGTATGGCTAATAATTTTCTCGGAGTATTGCAACAAGTGCAGAGAGGACTGGCCATACCGCAGTGGGAAGGTGACAGAAGGTCACTTCAGAAGTGCCTGAATGTGACAGATTCTCTGATAGGAAGGTCAGCATATTCCAAGGAGGAAACAATATGTATCTTGGGGTTACACACTCACTAGGTGGAAGACCTGGTACCAAGGTAAGGTGTTAGGAACCTCATGCAGATGTGAGAGGCTTTCTTTAGTATCCACAATTTCCAGAGACCTGGTAAGACTGCTGGCACATTGAGTAGGGCCTAAGATTCTATAATTGAGAAAAATTAGCTTAATAAGAAATGGTAATAACAGTCAAGGCCATCATGCTTTATCATTCATCATCATCATCATCATAGATTGCTACATGTCTTCTCTCAGCTGATCCTTATAATCAGGTGAGTCAGTGAATGTTATCATCATTCCCATTTTGCAGATGAGAAAACTGAAGCTTTGAAAGATTAAGATATTTCCTAGCAAGTGACCACTGAAAGTCCAAAGTGTATTTCTTAAGAGCAAACCCTTTGTTGTTTCTACAGCATCATACCATCATCTTCTAATTTAAGGAAATTGTACTAGGGGACAGAAAAGCCCACACATATTATTTTCATTTGAAATTGATGACATTTTGATAAGATTTTCCTGCAATTTCAAAGAGTGCCTTGTGGCTAAAATGATGAAAAAGACTAGAATGAAGAAATAGGGCACAGAGAAGTTGGCAGCTGATAGTAGAGCCCTTTGACCTTCTTCCATTTCTGCTAAGATGTTTTCAGCACGTGCTTACCGCAGCAACACACACACTAAAACTGGAATGATACAGAGATTATGATGGCCCCCATGCAAGGATGACACACAAATTCGTGAAGCGTTCCATATTTACAAGAAAAAAAAGATGGTTTTCAGCACATGAGCTAGCACTGCTTCTTTTAAACCTCAGAAAATACTGAGCTCTTTGCTTTACAAAGTGAACTTTCTTTACATGGGGCCAAAAATGGGAAGAGAGAGATGAAGGGCTTACTATGACTCCATGCTGAGAAAATGATCTTGTACATCATGTCTATTAATCGGATACAGAATTGTGATGATGGATTCCTATGTCAACGTGGCTGTGTCATGGGGCCCAGATAGGTCGTCAAACATCACCTGGATGCTTCTGTGAACATGATTTTTACTTGAGATCAATAGATTCATTATCTGTCACTTTTGAGTAAAGCCGATTACCCTCCACAGTGTGGGGTGGGCCTTATCCCATTGGTTGAAGGTCTGAGTAGATCAAAGACTGACTTCCCTGAGCCAGAAGGACTTCTGTGAGCAGACTGACTATCCCAGCCCTGGCCAGAATGTCTTCCCATGCAGGGCATGCCCAGTCACTCTCTCATGCAGACACACCAATGAACTTCATAAGCACAGCTTTAGGAAGTGAGAGGAAACCTGGGACCCAGAGAGAACCCACACAGACACAGGGAGAATGTGCAAACTCCAGACAAACAGGGGCCCCACTAGGAATTGATTTTTTTCCCTTATAAGTGTTATAACAAAATGATGTTGAAAAAAATAATGTCATTTGAGGACCGTCTGTGTACACCCACATACAGACACACACACACATTCTGGATGCTGTAATTGAAATCAGCGAGTCTTCCTACCAAAATTAAAACTAGCCTACTGACTAAGTGAACAAATAATCCTTTCCTGAAGATGCCAGGAAGAAGGTAGTCGTCTCAGTTGGACTCTCAGAATCAAAGAGAGACTCTTTTAAGTTTTAACACATTAACTGCCATGTAGATATATTTAACTTATGCTGGTTTTGAGCCTGGGGGGTCTCCTGAAGCATGGATCGATCATTCACACATCTCTTGACCTATCTTGACCTAATAACACACCATGACCCCAAGGTGTGGCAGTTAATGTATTAAGAAAAGAAATATTTTGGGTAGTGCCTGTGGCTCAGGGGAGTAGGGCAGTGGCCCCATATGCTGGAGGTGGTGGGTTCAAACCCAGCCCCAGCCAAAAACTGCCAAAAAAAGAGAAAAGGAATATTTCATAAAACCTAGCAGCTCATTTGGATGAATTTTAGAAAATAATCCCATTACCATTCAAGAAACATCAAATATTGAATCCCTACCCACCCTGGACATAAGAGAGGCTTGTGTTCACAAGAATTTCAAAGGAAGGAGGGGTTAGGGAACAGTAATTTGTCATGACATTGAAAAAACAAGGTTTTGTACAGTGGTATTCTTTTGGGAAGCACTTGGTGGGGCTGGGAGTCACTCTCATACTGATTGGATTGGTGGATATAGAAGTGACCAAAACCAAGGAGAGGCTACAAATTACCTGTCTCCTAAAGGGATCCAGAGCCACTTTCACCCAATACAGCCAAGGGACACTGGAGAAAAGTGCATCTCAAGGACTAGAGGAAGGGATGCCTTTCCAACTGCAAGCTCTTATGTTGAGTAAACACTGACTAAACAAAAGCAGTGGAGCAAATGATAGAGAAAAGATCTTTGGGAAAGTCAAAAACCAACTGAATTGGGAATTATTTGGAAGAATGAAAGCCACAACTATGTTATAAATTCCTTACAGCTTTGTGGGTACAGAAAAAAAAAAAGCCCAACACTTCCTAACTACATAACTACAAACTGATTTTTCTGTTACCGTGGTAAAGGTCTAGTGAAAAATTTTCTAGCTCTTATGAGTACTTGATTGAATTATTCCTGAGAAGAAAACATCCTTTTTACAATTCTGAGTACTTCATCAAAAACGATGCTGAATGTGTGTGGGCATATATGCCCACAGGTGTGTATGTTAACTACCAAAAACTTTGAGGAAATTTATTGCCTTTCAGTTAAAATGTTAACTAGAAAGGGGCTAAGCAAGGTAGTGACAATTTCTTTTCACAAGAGATGTATCTGTCACAGTAAGTTATCCATGTAGCAGCTGTGCTGATTCTGAGTCATTCATTCATCGCCAGCGTCCTCTTCCCTGTATTTTCATTGACCTAGATGATGAGATCCCAGGAGCACGCAAGGTATCTGTAAACGCATGTCTGATATAACTTACAAGAAGGTTCTTGGGGCCTTGAAAGGCAATCATATGAAATATTACCTCTGTAAAGTGCTCCTTGGATCTTGGGCAACAAGCTCCATGCTAAGAACTGCCCCCTATCTTACCCTGCATGAACACAGCTTCCTCTACCGTGAATGCAAACCTGCTCAAGGCATGGGGGACAAAGGCAGAGACAGGCCTCTGTTGCCATGGGGCACACCCACGTGAGTTCGCTCAGCAGAGCCCTTCAGTTTTCTCTTCTCTCTCACCCAGTAGGAGATCCTGGATTGCACATCTGAGGACACTTTTCGGCAACTGTCAAGTCTGTTTGGTTTGCTATCTTCTCATTTCCTGCTGATCTGTTTTCTTCTTTTTCCCTGTAGACTCTGCACAGTGTTGTATCACACAGCTGGGGAGAATAAATGGGATTTTTGTACCCATGTTGGGGGGATCGTTAATTTGACAGAGTTGCTAACAGAATCTATCTGAGGCTTTCGCTCTGATTTTCACAGTATTACCTTACAGTTAGGCCATCTTCTCTTCTGTATTTGAGAGTGAATCGTCCTACTAATTTTGGAAGACTCAGTCAAGGCCCCCAAAGCACTAAATTCATATAGTACTATTCATTCATATATAGAAAATATATTTACTTAAAAAAAAGATAGAATAAATGTAGTCCCTCAAAAATTTCAGATTAAACAAGATTAAAAATCTAACTTGACCTTTAGATCTTTGGATGTTGCATTTAAATGGGAATTATTAGCATTTAATATTTAAATAAGTTAAAGGGAACTATGGAATTCTAGAGCTCAAACTATTTTAACTACTTCTTAGTCACCCTTATTTTATAGAAAATAAACTGAGGTTCCGAGCAGTTTAAATGACACAGGAAATAAAGAAGCATAGCACAGACCCTGATTAGCCAGGTAACTTTCTTCTACATTACATAATTTCTAAGAGTGAAGAAATTTTGGCTCTAGCAAAATGAGATCAATCTACTCTTCTAAACTTTAAAGAATACCAATTCCATATGACTGCTTTCTCTAGTTTTTTAATCCTAATTAGGTAACTTAACAGTCTTAGCATAGTTTTTCATAACTTAACAGTCTTAACGGTTTTTCCAGGTTATAAACTGCTAGAAAGGCAGCATTAGAACGCAGGCTAAATAGCTAGTTGGTACCTCAGACTTTTACCTGTAAGTTAAGCAGAACAAAACCAGATTACCAGCAGTTCACACAAAGCAATTCTAACAAATGCTGGATTCCTCTTAGCCAAATTATAATTGTTCTCTCAACAACCTAACGGTCACTCAAGGAAACTGATGAATTTTTTTATAGAGAGATGAAAAGAAATTATTTTCAAATGTTTCCTCAAGGCCATGCCAGTTGCTTGATTTAGCAGTTTCCAGAACATCTATTGATTATACACACAGTATGACTGAGAAAAAAAAATGGAAATAATTTCAGTTTGCACTTAAGCTCTAAACTTTACTTTTTATTTTTAAAATCCTTTTTCTCTGTAAACTTCTGGCTGAAATATTACTCACTAGTATTCTGTTTTTTGTTCTTACACCTGGTAGAAATCCCTCAGAGTGATCCAAGCAGCCACCAGGTTAACCTCAGTATTGCTCCTGGTTACACAGCCTTCCTGCCATCCCGGATTTTTGTGACTAAGGCAGGGTGGCCACAGGAGCATGCCACTTGGATCTTTCCAGTGTGAATATGTTGTAATTAGTGAAGTTAGCCTTCCAGACACAGTGGTTTCAGGATCTGCTGCAGGCTTAGAGCTGACAACTCTTTTTCCAGGCACCCTCCAGTCTGTATCTGAGTACAGTGGGAGTGACAGGCCGTGTCCACCAACACGGCACTCCTTGATGAAATCTTTGTGCTCTAATTCCCTGCTGGGCTGGTCAAGACTAGCCTTTGCCAGAGTTGTCCTGTAGTCTGAGCTCTTCCTGCGTGGTATCCCCACTTCCTCCTCTCTCACAGGTTTGGTTGCGCACTCCCGCTGCCTGTCTCCTTTACCTTTTACAAGTGTTATCCATGATGGGAAATGCCTGGAGTCTCTAAAATCTTTTAGCATCCACTTCCTGGGTGACCTAAATTGACACAATCACTTTTTTGTGTGCAATCTGATTATTGTAGTTGAACACACTCTAGGCATCCTGTTGAATTAGCAACTTTGTCCCTTCCTACCTCTGTTCAGTGGTGGGGTCTGGGTGGCCATATTCCTGCCAAGGTTCTTAGACCAGGTATAGACACTTGAGGAAAGCTGAGTTAATGGGGGGGGGGTGTGTGTCATTCTCAAAAATTTAAACTAAGAGATGTCAAAACAATGGTTATATGGTATTGAGAACCACAGCCATAAGTTCTTGTTTAGGCTTGAGGCCAGAATTGGCACCATGGTAACTTCAAACCTCATATAAAATGTAGATATGAAGAAACGGAAACGAACGATCTTAGAAAGGAAGACAGTCTGCTGCAGATACGGGAAAAAAATACCAAAGATGAAGACGCCAGTATCCATGCTTTGGAAGGTAATTTGTCAGTTTATTAAAAAGTTAAACATAATCATATTGCACAAGCCAGTCATTATATACTCCGTGATATTTACCCAAGGAGCTGCAACTATTGTCTACACAAAAACCCGCATGCTGATACCCTGGGCAGCTTATTCATAATTGCCAAAACTTGGAAGCAATTGGCATGTCCTTCAGTGAGTGAGTAGAAGCTACGCTGTGATACAGAATATTATTCAGCACTAAAAAGAAATGAGCTATCAAGCCACGAAAAGACATGGAGGAAACCTAAATGCCTGTTTCTAACTCAAAAGGCT